GGTTTTACTGAATCCTCACATCAGCCATACATGGTAAATATTCCCATTCATGGTTTACACACCTACCACATTAGGGAAATTAAAGCAGTCACTAAAAGCATACTAAGTAAGAAGTACCCAGGAATGAACCCTGGGTCTTAACTTCATCATCTATGCTCCTCACCACTTTTCTAGCTGGGCAACTCCCTCTTCAAAGCATAATTCGTGTCTGCATATTTCAATAATGAAAGTGCTTCCGTCTCCTAGTCTCAGCTTCCATTCCACCTGTAGTACTTAGGTGAGAGACAGTGTAAAAGAAATAATACCTCAGCTGTCAGAGTAGGCTTATTCGAGTGCAGATGGACTGGGCTGTACTAAGCTATTTTCTAACCTTCAGACTGAAGCAGTCCTCTTATCCTTGCTAAGAACAGTGGTGCACTACAGGACGTTTCAGACAATAAAGCAGTTTACCACAGTAGTCCTGGAAGATTATAATGGTGCAGAAATATCACTTAGAGGCCATCTTAACCAGCATAACATTGTGGCACAATCCATTTGGTACTTGTGCAGTTAGAGGATGCTGCTGTAAACAAGCCTAAATACACTGCTACTTGTAGGGAAGAATAATATGTACAAGAACATTCGGGACACAATTCCTGAAGTGATTGTTACAGGCTTATTGTTTCCTAAACTCTAACTTTATCATTATTTTACAGCATATTTCTATTATTAAGAAATAAAGTTTACTGTCTAACAGTATGCTTTGTTACACTGGCAGCAGCCTTGTATCTGTAGTGTTTACCACCTCTCTTGATTGCAGCAAGATAGCATAAGGACTATCTATATATCATCGGTGTTTGTCTAAGCACATTCTGCAATGATCACACAAAATTCATTTAATGGCACAGTTCAGAAGAGGTAGCAAATCCCTATGGTGAACACACGTGACTAAAGGTAATTCAGAGATCAACTGTTAGTGCTTTTAAGAACCTCTGTGGCAATGAGTAACCAAGATGAGACTATGTCTTGTATAGTTTAAACTTAAAGAACTTTTGAGAATTCCCCAAAGTTAAAAGTATATAAAAAGAGAAAGAAACTAGGTCTGTCTTTCCCCAGGCAATGGCTAGAACTTCAATGTGTACGTTTATTCTACAATAGTCAATAATACGTCCAAAGCTGTGTAGACAGCATGGAATCTTTTAGAATACGTTACTGCTCTTTCTAAAGAGAAACTTCCACATACTGGTTACATCAGAGCTTAATTAGAAACAAAAGCAAACTCTTCCCCTGGAACAGTCTCCAAACATAGTTTTTATTCTGTATTTATTGTCTAAGAACATGATTTTTATTTGATCCATAAGAAAATCCATTTAATATGAATTTTAATAGACTTAGACAAGCAATTTCCAAAATTATTTCAGTCTCTTAGGATTTGACCTGAACTCTGTTAAGAGTCTGGGTCATACAAAGAGCCTTGATGCTCAATGAGAAGCAAGGAGCTTGATACAGCTCATCAGGGTACTGAATGCCTACAATCCCAGAACTTGGGAGGCCGAGGCAGGAAAATAGAGAGTTCAAGGCAAGCCTGGGTTAAAATCGGGGTGGGGGTGGGGGTGGGGGCAAAAAACAAAACACAAAACCTGGACTTAATGATGGGCTAGAAATAGGAGGATGGTGAGAGACAAAAGCAATTCCCATTCTACAATGGATCTATACTCTCAAAACTAGTGCTGACAATAACAACAATCATATTGTTTCAATTTCTGTTACTTAATCACACAGTAGCTCAGTCAAGAAAAATATGTTGAAATACAATAAATATCCCTCCGTTGTTCTTATTGGATCCACATGAACTTAAGTTTAGATTCCATTTAATAAATGGAGAGAAAAGTTCTTTGAGAGAACACAGTACCAAACACAAGACCAAAAAAAGGGGAGGGGGGAGGCACCAGAATCCGTGTATGCTCAAAGGCAAAAGGCAAGAAATAATGAAGCATGCTGCGGGCCAATCAGCACGCAAGGAGAGTTCTACCCTGAAAAAAAAGGGGAACAAAGTTTAGAAACTTCCAAGCCCTTGCATGTAAATGTCTCCTGAAACTTTTGCCCACATACCAGTTCTTCTAAGAGTTATGCTCCACCAGTCTCCACAGATGGCTTTAAATCCCCGGGGCCTCAAAGCATTGTTCTAAAGAAACCCCCACAAAGCCCGGGAGCTGAGGACCCCGTGAGCAATTGACACCCACGACCCTGCGCCTCGCCTACTAAGGCTTTTCTTGGCCTCTCCCAGGACCAAGCTGCCAATGCAGCGCAAGCTCAGAGGGAAAGGCTCCCAACTGTTGCATCGCAGGACTGCAAAAGAGAAAGTCAACCCACCCCGGGGGTGCTCCGGATCTCCACGGGAAGAAAAAAGGAGGAAGAAAGAAAACAAACACCGGTCGACTTTTTAAAAATATTTATTTCAATTGTGTTTGCATCTGACGGGGGCTCTCCCGGACCCGCCGGCTCCGCGCCTGGGCGTCGCTGGAGTAGAGCCTGCACCTGTCACTTCGCTCGGGAGCAGGAGCCCCACCCGCCCGACACCTGTCAAGCCGCAGCCCAGACCCCTTCGGGATGCCCTCCCCGTCGCCCGCGAGCCCGGGACCGTGTCAGCGCGCCGCCGCCACTCCGCGGAGGTGGAGGACCAAGGGGACCCCGGGGACCCCGGGGACCCCAGGCACCGCTCCTATCGCCAGTCCGGCCCCGCCGAGATGCGCCCGGCGACCCCGCCGAGATGCGCCCGGCGTCCCCGCGCCCTTCCCTTCCCTTCTCTCCGGCCCGCGGCGGCCGCGCTCCTCACCTGGCCAGGGGCAGCTCTTCGGGGCCGCTGTCCTGCGCGGGGTCGTCCTCCCGAGGCGGCGGCGGCGGTGGCGGGGGCTCGGCGGCCGCGGCTCTGCGCGGGGCTTTGGGCGGCATGACGCGCTGCGCGGGCCGGCGCGAGCAAGCGAGGGAGGCGCGCGGGGAGGCGGGCGCGCGCGCACGCCGGGCACGCCCCGTCCTCACCCGACTCCCGTTACAAAAATAATGGGAACGTCCCCTGAGGAAAACCGGACGCGCCCGGCAACCGAGCGCCCGGGCCAACCGCGGGAAAACGTCACTTCCGCCCGCGGCGTCACGTCCGCGAGGCTCGCGGGTCGCGGGCGTCAGTGGGGAACCGGGGCGGCGGTGGCGGCAGCGGCGGGCGAGGGCGAGGGCGCGGGCGGGAAGCCGCGGGGAAGCCGCGCCTGCCCGGGCCTGTCTCCGCCCGCGTCGTCCCCGTGGGCGGCGCCAGCCGAGGCGGGGCGGGCTCGCTCCGAGGAGCCGCGGCCTCTGGGAGAACGCTGGACAGGGCGCGCCCCTCGACCGGCCCGCGCGGCCGGCAAAACAAAAACAAACGTGCCCGGCCAGTGGGAGGTGGGCTCGGCCGGGGTGGGCGGTCCAGGGTGGGGCCATTAGTGGCTTTCTGGAGACAAGGGAAGATGGGCGTTGAACCGAGGGAAGAGTGGGGTTAGTCTTTTGATGTGGAAACAGGAGGCGCGGTCCAAGCGCGACAGATCTTAGCGGGAAAGTAGCTTTTGAAAACCAGTTTGCCAGGCGGACCCGACTTTGAAAAATCGTTTACAAAATCGTTTGAAACGAAAGCAGAAACCAGTTTGCTGTGTTAATGCGCACGATCCGACCTCCTTTCATACGTTTCTCAGAGACAGCCGGTCAAACTGGGAAGGTCAGCATTCCACTTTGTGTGTTGGAAATGGGAGTTCGGGGAGCTAATTTGCCCGTGTCACATAGCTGGTCGGTGGCAGAGGACTCGAACCCAAGTAATATTTGATTCGCCATGTCACCAACGCACAGACACCGGAAAAGAGCATACTAGAATTACGGCCACCAAAAGCTGGCTCAGCAACTGTAGCTTTTCTAGTTACAGTTTTTTCGTGTCAACATAATTTTCTCTCTTTGCCAGTCCTTATTGGGGGTTGTCACACAACTCCCTAATTGAAGTGCTGTGAATAAAATACAGTTGTTCTGATGTAAACTATCTTGGAACAGCTGAGCAAGGACTGAAGAAGCAGGAACTTAATTGGGTAGGTTGCAAGCCTGGGCTTATTCTCTGCCTTGACGTAAGATGTGTGAAGGATACATGGGCCTAACTTCAGAAGCCTTCTAGAGACCAAATGTTTGTCAGGAGGTAGAGCCCCAGGCCCTGATGCAGCCACGGAGAATGAAAGGAATTATAATAGCAGTTGAGTTCACCTTTTCCCAGATCTAGCTCAGGCTACATGGGAGCCTGATAAAATGATATACAGAAATGATACAGTCCTGCCTTATAATTATCAGAGAATGTGATAATTGCCAATTGACGCCACCTTGGTAATTTGTGGCAAGCTATTCTTGGGGGTAAGGCAGAATGTCAAAAGAACTTGGATCCTCAAACATGTAACAGAGCAGGTGATTGGTCATCTCTGCTGGTACTGACCTCATATCAGCTGATGGTCAGCTTTTTGAGTCAGAAGTCATTGTAACTAATATTTCCCCCGTAATTCCCTTTCAACATACAGATCAAAGTTGAACCTGACCCGGTAGCTCAGGCCTGTAATGCTCTGAGGTTAAGGCAAGAAAATCATAAGTTTAAGACATGCCTTGGCTATAGAATGAGTTGAACTCCAACCTGGGTAACTTAGTAAGTCTCTGTCTTATAAAAAAAAAAAAAGTAAAAAGTCTGTGATATAACTTAATAGTAGAGTGCTTACCTAGCATGCAAGGAGCTATGATTCCAGTACCCAGGAGTTTACACACACACAGAGGGAGAGGGAGGGGAGAGAAAGAGAAGAGGAGAGAGAGGAGAGAGGAGAAAGGGAAGAGGGTGAGGGGAGGGAGGAGAGAGAAGGAGGGGGGAGGAGAGACAAGATTTTTCAGACATCATTACAAACCTTAGAATCTAAGGCATTGGCCATATGAGACCATAGGGCAGCCAAGGAAAGGCAAGGGAATTACATTAACTCTCCATGTGTAGATACGGCTTGTTTTATTTGAACCTAGTTCATCAATGCTATTGCAAACGAGATTTTTCAATTCTTGATCACAAATATGAAATCTTGTTCCAAAAAAAAAAAATGGCACAGGACCGGGGGTGCAGAGGGGATTTGGTGGTAGAGAAGGAGAAATGAAGATGGGGAAAGAATTTGAAAAAACATTTAAAGTGTTTGTGTTAATGGTAGTTTGACGCATGGAAACATCCAGCCGCCCGGTTATTGGACACCTTCTTACACTCTAGAGGTCTTCAGGTGGCTTTCAGCTTGCGTGGGTGTTGTTTGTTGTTGAGCAGGTGGTCTTCAGCTTGCGTGGGTGTTGTTTGTTGTTGAGCAGGTGGTCTTCAGTTTGCGTGGGGCGTTGTTGGGTGGGATGGCTGTGCTTTTGTCACATGCCAGGGAAACTAGAAGGTGAGTTTGTCCCTTGCTACTCAGAGTAAGTAGCAAGCTGTAAGAATGTAAGTATTTATTGTTATTTTCAAAGTCTTTTTCAATTGTTTAACTGAGCCTGGTTTTGAAAATTCATAGCTAAATTAAGGAAGTAAAAGCTTTGTCATTTCTTTTGGATCTTATAGTTTGTTTGTTTTTTTTTAAAGCCTGTCTCACTTTGTCAGTAAAAGACACACATCTGTAATGCATTAGTAACAGTAGTAGTAGATTTCACAATAGTCACAGAAATTATTCCAAAGAATTATAAAGCCCTGTGGGTTTCTCCTGACTTAGCTGAGAACCATAGTCTCTCATTTATTTAGCAGGAGGCTGAGACAGAAGGATTCCACATTCAAGGCCTGCTTGGGTCCAAGAATGAGTTCACAATCAGACCCTCTCTCAAAATAAAAAAGTTTTTAAAAAATGGGGCCAGGCTGGGGATATAACTCAGAACGCTTGTGTAGTGTGTTGAGTACCAGGTTCACTCTTCAGTACTGCAAAATAAAAATAAACTCAGTCTCCCACTTATCTGTAGCCATAGCTCTTAGCAATGGCAACAAAGGCATCAGATGTGAATGATAAGTATATGTCTAAAATAGAAAGAAATTAGTTAAGACTTTACTAACCACTTTGAATATTTATCTTTCACCAAAATAAGCTTCACAACAAAAATTCACAAGCCCAGACCAGGCCAGAGACCCTGAACTCAGAAATGCACTTGCCTCAGCCTTCTTTCATCTGTTGGGATGAAAGTTGAATGCCATCTGGTCTAGCCAGGATCTCTTTCTTTCACTGTAGAACAATTAAAATAGTGCTTTAATCCTGTGAGCCTGCATTTGAAACAGGATACAGATAAAAGACTAAAAATAACATTTTAAAATAAAGCATTGCTTCCTTCGTTGTGGATAAAAGTTTATTGCCTGGGGGCTGGGGAGATTATTAAGAGCGTTACTGCTCTTGCAGAGGACCCAGTTTCGATTCCCAGCACCCACATAGCAGCTCATGACTATCTACAACTCTAGGTCTAGGGCTCCAGTGCCTTTGTCTGGCTTCCACCGGCACTAAGCATGCACGTGGCACACAGACACACATGCAGGAAAAACACCCACATGCATAAGAAAAATTTTAAGTTTATTGAAGTATCTTCTCCTTCTGCCTTCATACTTTTGAGAGAAAGGCTTCTGTAGTATTGATCGTGTTATTAAAATAAAATATAGAAACAATTTAGCTAAGCATTGCCTTCAAGTAGCATGTCATCAATCTAAGCAACCTAACTGTAGCTAAAATATCTGGTTTAACAAGCAAAGAACCCAGCTCACTTCTCACATTATCTGTATTTATCTGTATGGACATATTAAATAATGTTATTTTTTTTAATTCTCTTCTCCCCATTTTATGTTTGCCCCAGTTTTATTTGTTGAATGTAGTTTTATTTCTGGTTAATCTGAGAAAAAAATCTAAGTTTATATTTAGTGTGTCCTTATTATTTGTTTTCATTTTCTTTTCCTGGCAAGTCTTTGTGGTTTTCTGAGACAAGATCTCATTCCATAGCCAGAGCTGTCCTGGAATTCACTGTGTAGCCCATTGTCTCAAATTCCTGGCAGTCCTCCTGCCTCAGCCTCCCAAGTGCTGGAATTATGCCCAGTTTAACAATTTGTTTTTATTTCACTTTCCAAAAGTATCAGTTCAAGACAACTGGGGGGTTTAAAGGAATGAACAGTTCCTGTGCAAGAGTATGGGAAACAACTGGCCTTTGAAGAACTTCTGTTCTCTTGTGGTGGACTCAACACCAGGAATGGCTTCCCTTATGTGTGCACTTCTTAGACTCTTTCAGGTTTCAAGAGAGGAGATCTGCTACTTTCATCTCTATTACTAAAGGCTGGTGGTGAGCTGGATAGGGTAAAGGGATGGGAGTAAAGGCACAGGAGCCCTCTCTGCATCCTCATGTACTCTGTGATGACAGCAGGCACTCAGCCATTCCCCACCCCCACACTGTCCTCACCGTACTGAATGTTAGTCTTCATCTCTTCATAGTCGTTGTGCCCCTAGCCAACTCCCCCACCATGCTACCAGTTCACACACCTCAGTAGAAAAAATAGGATTGATTCTCCTTCAAATTATGGCTTCCATCAGCAGGACCCATTGCATCATTTCCAAGGCTCTAGAGAAAAATGAAAAGATAGAATCCCTATTTAAAAATAGTATACTAAGAGGGCTGGAGAGGTGCTCAGAGGTTAACAGCACTGGCTGCTCTTCCAAAGGTTCAATTCCCAGCACCCACATTGCAGCTCACAACTTCCTGTAGCTCTAATTTCAGGGGATCTGGCATCTTCACAGACATACATGCAAGCAAAACACCAATGCACATAAAGTAAAAATAAATAAACTGTTAAAAGAATAATATTCTTTTAAAAATTACCAAGAATTTCAAGATCATGAGATCAGAGCATTAAAACTATTAAGATTAATGCTGTGGTCTAGCATGAGGTGTAACATGATTTCATAACTCAAGATATGTATGTACAAAGCCAGCCAACCGATAAAGGTAGGTCCACAGCCATGCTAAACAGATGAGTGTATCCCAAGGCCTGGTATAGCCTTGGCACATGATGCAGAATTTTAAAGTATGTAAATAAATGACCCTAACAACCCCATTTTTAAGTTCATTAATCTTATCTCCAAATACAATCACATTCTGACGTACAGAAGTCGAGATGCCAGCATTACCATCAGAAGAAATACAGCTCAGCTCCTAATATTTGTGGAAGTAATTTCGACATGGCTCTAAGCTGTCCTCTAATAAAGAGGGTAAATATTTCTCAAAGGTTATGAGGGAAGACATTAAACATCCAAATGTATCTAGTTGTCACGTAGGCTCTAATTTGTATCTCAAGGGCACAGAGGGATAAAGATGACAGGCAGGCTTTAAAGAAAAAGAAAGAAAAAAGTCTTTATTATAATGTTTATGTTGGCCTCACATTGTAACGCCCGCATGGCATGCTCAGCTCTTCCCTGCCAGTGGCAAGGGCCAGGAAGGGTGACCAAAGCAAGCTGCTGAATTACTGCAGTTCAAGCCAGCGAAGTTACTACACTGCAAGAAGAAACGGGTCCACATTCAAGTTACATGGTTTTGTCCCATGAAGAAAAACAATTACTTGTGGTTTAAATGTAGCCCTCAAAATTCATCCGTTGGAAACTTCATCCCCTACATTGAGAGCTGAGACTTTTGAAGAGGTGGCATACCCTTTGACATTTGTCCTAACATTACCATGGACCAAGACAACAGCTGAGTGAATTTATTGACACTTTCTATAACCTAATCATGAGTTACATGCTGGGACTGAAGACACATCCCTTTCCTTACCAGTTATTAACAGCAACCATTCTTGAGTGCACAAAACTTTCCCTAGTTCTCCCCACAGCACCACCAGCCCCTGCCAGGAAGAATGGAAGCCGATCAGTCGTTTCATTTACATGTGGCTTCTCTCACCATTCTTAATGTGAGGTAGGTCCTAACCAAAACAACCAGAAGTACGGTTTATGGGTGGGTCACACTAAAAGCTTTTCCTGCTTAGAAAAACACCACTATTGTTTTAGATTCATCTTTTTGTGTTAAGGGATAAAAAATATTTCATAGTTTTCTCTATTTTACCCCATTGTCTTAATAATTTGATAATCTATACATGTTTCTTTTAACTCCATCATTTCAGTTCCTATAAAGGTTGCCAGTTAAAACTGGTATATTCCCCTATTCTTCTAATGAATAACGGCTTTCAGAATCACATGACCTCTTCAAGATTCCATTGTTCAGCATTGCCACACTAAGGGTAACATTTCCAGCATATGAAATTGTGGGGACACATTAAGCCAGAGCATTACTTTTTCCTTTTGAGTGTAAACCTCTGCAATTACAAGTAGAGGGTTTCTCCCCGTGGTGAAGTGGCTTTGTTCAATGGCTTGTGTTGTCACTGAGGAGTTGCTGCTTTGGTCTGTTTCAGGCAACATGAGTGGAAAAAGAAATACTACACTATAGAGTATGGTCTAAAGGTGCATAGGTGACATTTCAGTAGTGTAGAAGTTAACCACAGTGATGTTAGCTGACAATAGTAGAACCTAAATATCAATGTATTAAAAGGTCACTTTTACTTCAAGTAAATGTCTAGAGATAAGAACACCATGACTAAGTGAAGGTTCTGTTTAGCACAGCCCTTAGGGTCACAGGCACCTTGAACGCACAGCTTTGCCCTCTCAAGATAGTGCCCCAGGTCCAATATGACAATGAAATATGAATTTTATGTGTATGAGTATTTTGCCTGCTTGTATGCCTGATGCTCACAGATGTCAAAAAAGGGCACTGGAGTTAAAGACATTTGTGAGCTGCTGAGTGTGCTGAGAGTCAAACCCAGGTCTTCTGGAAGCACAACCAGTGCTCTTAACTACTGAGCCATCTCTCCAGCCCCTTGAACTCTAGTTTTTAGAGGGTATAAAATAAGATACTTGGCACAAGGAGAGTCCCACTGACCCTTAGGACACTGGGTAATGCGTGCATGATAACAAGACTGCCCAGCGATTTGTTTTGAGTACCAGAATGGGATATCGAGCTGAGTTACTCACTAGCCCTATGACAGTTATGCCCCTGGCACCTTGAGTAGTAAGCAGAACTCACAATAATATAATTACTAAGGCTTCATACCTTCAGCCAATTAGGATGCAGCATAAGTAGGAGGTGGACAAGGTGGTGGCCATGATGTTCGAATAGTACAGGAACAAGCAGAACAGTTGTGAAGGGGGATGAATTCTGTCGATGGAGTTGTATACTTTGCAAGTATCTCAGAGCACCTTGTCACTGTAGAACAACACTTACCTGGGAAATCACTTACCTGTACTGGTGATTCTTAATCAGTCTAATTTCCTGAAGCCTAAAGCTATAACACAGGCACAGGATCTGATTTAAGAACAGGCAAATGAGAGGAAACACAGGTTTGCAGAGCCTTGTAGGTCCACATATGTTCATTGAAGGCAGGGGAGGGGGAGACTAAGATAAGATTTTAGAGACATTTAGGTCAAAATGTTTAGAAATATTGAACCCCCAAGACCTGAACTGTATCTTATTCAGTGAATTCTCTGATAATATGCTATAAACTTTCTAACCATAAAAATATAATGTATTGGTTCATTTTTCTTTGGACTATTATTCAAGTCCAACCAACACTTATCAGAAAGTTCACTTTGAATGGCATATGCCAAAGGACAGAAAAGTCTGAGATCTTCAAGGTCCCGTCTCATTGATGGAAGTTGGAGGTGATGCTTTTCATGTTCTGAGAACGTTGTTTTTGATGTAAAGGACAAGTTGTGCCTCTCATATCCTGACACTAAGAATGAGATGATTTCTTAGTAAGCATCTTCGGAGGGAAGTGAAACTCCAACTGATTCATCATGTGACTTAGAAAGCTTCCCTTTGCAAATGAATACCAAAGTCAGACACTTCTCTTGACCAGATCCAGGCTCCTATGTAAACTGTCAAGCCACTTGATCTATACAACCCAGATCTCTGATGATGCCAGGGTTGTCTGCAGTGGATAAGTGTTACCAAGCATCTCTGGTAAATTCATAAGGGACGTACACCCCTGAGGACATACCTTGGAACAAAGCGATTACTTTTAGAGAACACTGAATTTCCTTAACTGAGTTTTAATATTATTAGTGTCTGTGCGTGTGTGCATGCCACAGTACATGTGTGGTGGTCAGAGGACTTCGTTCAGAAATTGGTTCTCTCTTTCCATCATGCTTCTAGGGATCAAAGTCAGGTCCTTCAGGAGCACTAGCTGCTGAGACACATCACACACCCATCACGAATTACTTTTTATTTGAATTCCAAGCAGCTTCTACGAGTAGGAGTCAAACTCTCCTGATATCCAGTAGGAAATTGAGGTCCTGAGTCATATGACTGTCAGACAGTCATAGGTCCTGAGTCATAGACTTCTGCCAACTACTGATTTTGGAAGTGGGTCCTTGCCCCAGCTGAGCTGCCATGTGAGAATTCATTCTAAACTACTATCTTAATTGGAGCCTTGAACGGGTCCTATTAAACTGTGTCCAGACCCATAAAAATTGTAAGGTTAAAAAAAATGTGTGGTTTAGTCTGTTTTGTGCTACTGCTGCTGTTGCTGCTAGTGGTACTGGTGCTACTGGTGCTACTGGTGCTGCTGGTATTGCTGGTGCTGCTGGTGGTGGTAAGATTTGTACGTAGTGAAATGGTATACTCTGTCTAGAAAATGGTTTGACTTTTAATAACATTAAGCAGAAGCCAGTAATATGACCTCACAACCCCAAAGAAGAGGAAAACAAGTTGTCAAAAAGACTTGTATGAGCATGTTATCACAACTTCATTTATTATAATTAAAAGTCCTTCTAAAAACCAACTTTTAATACAAGAATGGATGAAGCCACTTCCACACCCGGGATGGAACAGAGGAGCCCTGCAAAGTCCAAACACTCCAGGAACACTGGCTTCCTGAGGTGGTGCGAAGGGACACAAAATGTTCTCTCAAGAAATGGAGCCGCCGGGCCGTGGTGGCGCACGCCTTTAATCCCAGCACTTGGGAGGCAGAGGCAGGCGGATTTCTGAGTTCGAGGCCAGCCTGGACTACCCTGTGAGTTCCAGGACAGCCAGGGCTACACAGAGAAACCCTGTCTCGAAAAACCAAAAAAAAAAAAAAAAAAAAAAAAAAGAAATGGAGCCAATTGGTCGCCCTGTGGAGCTGGGACTTGGAGTGCAATGCGCCATCTGCAGGATCCAGGTGATGGATGCCTGTCTTGGATGTCAAGCTGAAAAACAGAGGGATTGTGTTGTGGCCTGGGGAGAAGAAAATCATTCCTTCCATAGCTGCTTCGTGTCCCTGTGAGTGAGACAACCATCACTGCCCTCCCTGGCAGCAGGATTGCATTTCCCCAGAGTCTGCAGATATTACAGGGTAGTAATGTTTTCCCCACTCAGTGGCTTGCAACCCTCTTGGGTTTTGAGGTGGAGTGCTAGACAAAAGCTAGAACACGTCGATGGATGGATTCTTCAAATAGAAAGGATGGATCTGTGGTCTTTTGGGACTTACCAAAGGCGTGGTTTAACATAATGTCAGTTTACATCTTAGAAACTCTACAACTAAGAAAATGTATTAGAGATGGTCTTTTATTGTTACCTCCTCTTAGAAGTGCCATTTAAAAATAAAAAGGAGAGAAAGTCAACATTTGCATGACCTTTATCATTTTGCTCTCAGTGTGCAGGGGCTGTGGGAGCAGTTGCATTCACAGAAGAACATTTGCATATTTATGCAGGATTGGTTTCTAAAAAGAATGTTACAGTAACAAATAGAACACAGCTTAAAACCTGCCCTGAAAAGAATAGATGAACATTCTGACATTTAATAAAATACAAAGACTACTGCTTTAAATGAAAGGAACTCTTGAAACTCTCCAAGATTTAGATTTATTTAGGAATAAATCTAAAAAGCTTGCTAAACCTAGAAAAACAGCACAAAAGGAATACTATCTATACGAACCCGTTTATAAGACACTCTAAGACAGACCAGCACAGCCTATGGTAAAAGAAACTGGACCAGTGGTTGCTCTGAGTACTGAAGGCAGGCATTACTTTGGAGAAAGCAATGGTGGGCATGGTTTGTGTTTGAGGTACTGGTCATACAAGTCTATGACCTCACAACCCCAAAGAAGAGGAAAACAGGTTGTCAAAAAGACTTGTATGGGGCTGGAGATATGGCTCAGCAGTTAAGAGAACTGACTGTACATCCAAAGGTCCCGAGTTCAATTCCCAGCAACCACATCATGGCTCACAACCATATGTAATGGAATCTGATGCCCTCTTCTGGTTTATCTGAAGACAGAAACAGTGTATTCATTTATATACATAAACTAAATAAATCATTAAAAAAAAGACTTGTATGAGCATGTTATCACAACTTCATTTATTATAATTAAAAGTCTCTTTAAAAACCAACTTTTAAACTATTTTTAAGATTTATTTTTATTTTTAGATTGTGTTTGTGTGTGTGTGTGTGTGTCTTTGGTTTGGGGTATTGAAGTGATAGTGGCTTCAGAAAAATTTAGCAGTGTTACTTGTGTGTGTGTGTGAAAGAGAGAGAGAGAGAGAGAGAGAGAGAGAGAGAGAGAGAGAGAGAGA